ACGCCTTCAAATTCCACCGGAAGTATTACATCTGTAATGTGAGGATATATCCGGGTGGTTGATGGATCACACCTCGTTACAATGATTGGCTCTACCGGTCCTGGTCCATAGCCAATAGGGGGAAGTCTAGGGGCGTGGCCCTGACGTAATGGGAAGGTGACATCTGTAAGTAGAGGATTGGATCTGCTGGCTTTAGCCACAGCCAATGGGGGGACGAGTCAGGGGCGCGGTCCTGGGATCGTACGATGGCGTCTGGAAGATTCCATGGAGGTTAACCAGGATTGGTGGAAAGGTACCACGTGACCCGGGTATTAAAAGGGGTGGAGACTGACAACACGTGGTCAGATCTGGAACGAACGGAGGGTGAGGCCACGCTGGAGCGGGGTCCAGGCTGCCACGTGGCCGCGTGTCTCTCTCTCCCTCTCACGCTGTCGGTCAGCAGCGTGAAGGAGTAAGATGGGAGTGTTGTGAACGAAAGACAAATAAAGACCGGATTCCAGAAGTCGCTTCCACGACCTTTATTACACATCTGACACCCCCTTAACATTGAAGCGCAGGCCCCCCCTCAATGCTTGCGGGCCTCGGAGGTCGCTCCGATTCGCCGTATCCTCGGAGCGACTCTGCGCGCACATTGCAGACCTCTTTGTAAATGTAATGCGGGCGTAAACGACCTTCCGGATGTGACGTCACGGGGGGAGGAGCTACGTCACGTGGGGGAGAGGGTTCAGGTCTTAAAGGGGAGAAACCGGAAGAGAAGGGAGGTTGTTGGAAACTGGGTTAGAGTAAGGCCACGCAGGGCGGAGGTTGGTGGGGTGGCGAGATCGCCACACACACACACACAAAGTAAGGATCGGCACCGTTGGCCAGCGGTGACCGACCCCGGAGAAGCGGGGAGCAGCGGTGAGGCTGCAGCAGCAGCGGGACTGCCACGGAACAGAGGGAGCAGCGGTGAGGCTGCAGCGAGGGCGGCCGGGGAGACCGCACAAGGAGATCAGCAGCGGGGCTGCTACGGAATAGAGGAGGGTCTCTGGAAGAGAGCCGTGTGGGAAAAGTATACGAACCCGAATAAAAGAAACCAAGACAGATACAGTGGTCGAGTCCTTTATTACACTGGTGTCAGAAGTGTAACGGCATGTCAAAGCAACTAAGAAAAAAGAATATTCCGACGCCATCAGCTGCTTCATCATCCGACGACAACGACCTTCCTCCAGTGGTGGACCCGACTACGATGGAGGAGGAGATCCGTGCGGGAACGAGTGCGGGTCCAGGAGTCCAAGATGTCGCCGCGTCGGTGGACCCGTCCGCACCAAAGGACGCGGACTTGCGATGGGGGCAGATGGCGGAGCAGCTGGAGACACTGAAAAACGTACTGGCGCAGTTATGTGAGCTCGTCACGCCGAGGACGGCGTTGGGAAGAACAGATGGTGCTCCACAGGTCGCCGCATTGCCTTCGCTGTCGACGCCATCGGCCACGCGGCATGAAGACGCCATCTTGGGCGTGGCTGGAGAAGAACGGCGGGAAGCTGCCATGTTGTGCTCTCCGCGGCGGGAGGCCGCCATCTTGTCCACGCCGCGATGCGACGCCATTTTGAACATGCCTCCAGATGAGTCATCGGCTGAGGACGGTGCGCCAAGGAGTCGCAGTCATCATCTTACTACTGTTAAGGAATTCTCCATCGGGGGCGATTGGAGCGCTTTCGCCTGCAGGTTTTTGGCGGCGGTACGCTCTGCAAGGTGGATTGATGCTGAGGCATTGGAGGTTCTGCCGACTCTTCTTGATGACGAGTCGGTCAGATTCTTTCGTTTTATAACGGCCGAGAAGAAGGAAACATTAAGAGGAGTTTTCGACGAGATGGCAGATGCTTATGAGCCACCGGATGATGCTCATCGCCGGTTTGTTCAATGTCAGCGAGCACCCGAGGAGTCGCCGGTGGCATACAGGGGTGCAGTACTGGAGTTGGCTATGGCCGCATACCCGGAGACGAAGCCTGACCTGCTTGAACCTCTCATCTTGGGTAAGATGCTCGAGCTGTCCCGGGATCTGGGGATTCCTATGCCGGTGTGTGGCCACGAAAAGCTGACATCCCGGGCGGCAGCCAAATGTCTGGATGCCCAGTTTAACCTGCGCCGGTGGAAGCAAGTCACGGCGTGGACGGGGGGGGGCCCATCGTCGAAGGAGGTGCCGTGGGTTGGGATCCCAAGAAGGCGGTGTACGTGCCTGATGGGGAGAGCCCGCAGGAGCTGACAGCCGCCTCTGGTCCGTGGTCGGCCCGCAGTCGGCCGGGCCCGCGAGCTGCGCCGCCGACATGGGCGCGTCGGGACGGGGGTCTGCGGTGCGGCACAACGACGTCGACTGCTTCCGCTGCGGGCGTAAGGGCCATTACGCCAGGGACTGCTGGGCCCGCGTCCCGGGTCCGCCCCAGCAGGAGGCCTCGTCAACGGACGCGCCAAGGAAGGAACCTCCAAGACAGGCAAGTCGGTGCGCACCAGACACCCGGCAAGGCTTTACACCTCACCCATCACCGTTGTCGTGCGATCCGGGTGTTGTTAACAATGGGAGGCCATCGACTGGGCCATGTCGCTCGGTAATGCAGTGGCGTAAATTGGCACGAAGGGTCGTCGCGGCCGCTACTGGTTCGTCCACTGTACCTGGTTCTATACAAGGGGTGGACGTGCGTATTTTGGTTGATTCCGGGGCGTCCGCGACCATTATATCGGATGTCATTTTCCACCTGTTGGGCATCCCACCAGAGGCCGTGCGTCCGGTTTACGGGTCGTGCGTCGCTGCGAACGGGGGTAGCATGGGCATTGTGGGCCAGGTGGACGCTAAGATATCTATCGGGGAAGTGTCGGCCTCGGGAATTTTGTTAATTTCACGATCTCTGGCAGTTCCTTGTTTGTTGGGAACTGATTTTCTGGCCAAGATGCCCATTTTGATAAAAATTAATGAAAACTGTATTGAATTGCCGGGTGGCCGTAAGATCTCGTTTCTGCCGTCGCCCTGGGGGCAACCTGCTCCTGCCGCCCAGGTGCAGGCGCTGTCCGAGGTATCTGTTGATATTCCACCTGGCTCACAGATGCTTATTCCTTTACGATATCGGAAGCCTCTGCCTGGTCGGCAAGGCACACTTGGGGTTTTGTTGTCACCGTCCGCCACTATAACAGCCAGATCGGCGCTGGTTGGGGCGCAGACTATTGTCCGGCAGGACCAAACAGCCATTTTTGCAGGTGCTTAATGCAAGTACCGAGAATGTATGTGTTCCGGCTGGTACGGTTGTGGCACATGCCACTACGGCGTTTACGGCTCAGGATTATCTGCACAGCCAGGGCGTGGTCGCTGGGGTTTCAGAGCCGGGAGCTTCGGATAATCGCTGGATTGCCGATTTGTGTAGGGAAAATCCTTCCCTGTCCGAGGAACAACGTTGTGCGATTCGTAAATTGTTATTGGCTTATTCGGATGTGTTTAGCTCCGACGATTTGGATTTGGGACGCACCTCGTTGCTTTACCATCATATTGACACAGGGGACGCTGCCCCTATTCGGTTAAACTCACATCGGATGAGTCCGGCCGAGCGAGAACACGTTCGAGGGGCAGTGGATGACATGTTGGCTGCGGACATTATATCTCCATCTAATAGCCCATGGGGTGCGCCTGTTGTTTTGGTCAAGAAAAAGGACAGCAAATTGTGATTTTGTGTCGATTTCCGGAAATTGAATAAAATATCTGTGGCAAATGCGTATCCCCTGCCGCGTATGGACGACTCCCTCGATGCCTTGTCGGGGGCCAAGTTCTTTTCTACGCTAGATCTCTCGTCGGGATTATGGCAACTTCCCCTTGACGAGCCCTCGCGGGAGAAAACTGCATTCCGTATGCCGCAGGGGTTGTTTCAATTCAATTGTCTTCCGATGGGGCTGAATGCTGCCCCTGCCACATTTCAAAGGTTGATGGAGCTGGTATTAACGGGGTTGCAGTGGGAGACATGTCTGATATATTTAGACGATATTATCGTCTTCAGTCGCACATTTGATGAACATTTACGGCGGTTGGAGTCTGTGTTTACGAGAATGCGTTCCGCGAATTTGAAATTTAAGCCTAAGAAATGTCACCTACTGCAACGGTCCGTCCGTTACTTGGGGCATATCGTGAGTGCTGATGGGGTGGCCACGGATCTGGACAAAACAGCGTGCGTCCGGGATTGGCCAACCCCGGCCACCGTGGGGGATGTGCGTCGGTTTTTGGGATTTGCCTCATATTATCGGAAATTTGTTCTGAATTTTGCGACGATCGCGAGGCCTTTGCACCTCCTTACGGGTAAAGGACGAAAATTTGGTTGGGGACCGCCAGAAGAGGTGGCCTTTCAGGGCTGATCGATGGTGGCATACCCAGTTCACTGATTGGTGGACAGAGGCAGGGGGGTTTAAGAAACTCAAACATTTGTTTCAACTGCTGTGGCAGAAGGGGAACAGATGGGCATCGGGGCGGGTAGAGGGGCAGAGGTGCAGTGGTGCAGAAGTGCAGTGGAGCAGAAGGGCAGTAGAGCATTTGAGCTGAGGAGCAGTGGAGCAGTGGGGCAATGGAACAGAGGGGCAGTGGGGCAGATGGGTAGTAGAGCAGTGGAGCAAAGAGGCAGTTGGGCAAAGGGGCAGAGGGGCAATGGGTCAATTGAGCTGAGGAGCAGTGGATCAGTGGGGCAGTGGAGCAGAAGAGCAGTGGGCCAAATTGGTTGTAGGGCAGTGGAGCAAAGGGGCAGATGGGCAAAGGGGCAGTGGAGCAGTGAATCAGTGGGGGAGTGGAGTAGAGTGGCAGTGTTGTGAAGGAGGCACATCCCCTGAATATCTTTTCCCTCCAACATTTGTATGTGCTCTGAAGAAGGACCATTTCCCAAAACGACTCTCTTATATTTGTCATTGTACTGCCACACACACAGCTGGAAAACCGCACACCCGAGCCAAGGCACATTTAATCAACCCAGGCAGCACTTGCAAGCAATTCAACGATATTTCGTGTCATCATGGGTTTATTTCACATAGTTTATAGTACCAACAACAACAATGGCATTGAACCTAATTCTATACAGGGTGGCCCTGGGGCTTGCCATGTGGCAGGTTTCGTCCATTGTCTGTACCAGACCCCTCCAGCTCTCTCACCCTGGGTCAGCTGCCCCTTCCATGTCCTGGAAACCATGGGAAGGTCATCCAATGAGAACTGCCTGGATGAAAATCAGCATGGAAGGGGCCCAGGGTGGGGCCGGCATTGTTTTTGAGCTAGTCCCGTTAGTGTGTGGTGTGTGCGCTGTCTTGGTAGCAGTCGTTCTCCAATGTAGTCCTGGCATCTGCTGCTCAGCTTCCTTCTACAGCTGTGGTCCCAGTGGCAACGTCTCTCTGGGGAAAGGTGGTTTGTGTTAGGCATGTATCACGGGGTCGGTGGGTGGGTTGGTGTGTGGCATGTATCACGGAGTGGGTGGGTGGGTTGGTGTGTGGCATGTATCACGGGGTGGGTGGGTAGTATAGTGATAATGGTCATGGTTGGCACCAATCCACGAACACCACCATCACCCCTACTGAGTGGTGGACATGCCACCACAAAGCAGCACGCGGCGGAGGAGTGAGGTGATCGCTCTCGCCAGGCGAGCGAGGCCCCTCGCTTCCTCTTCTTTTCCTGCAACACCACCTCCACCACCTGCACCTCCTCCATCTCCTCCTCCTTTAACTCGTCCTCCTCCACCTCCTCTTTATCCTCCACCACCATCTTCTCCCCTTTCTCTGTTTTCTCCGTTCTCTCCTCTGCATCCTCCTCAACCTCTTCGTCCTCGGAGGTTGCAGAGGTGGTGGCGGTGGCAGCGGTGGTGGCAGAGGTGCGGAGGTGATAGCGGTGGTGGTGGTGGTGGCGGTTTCCGCAGTGGTGGCGGTGGTGTCAGTGGCCGTGGTGGCAGAGGTGGTGGTGGTGTCAGTGTCAGTGGTGGCGGTGTTATCTGTTGAGGTGGTGGCGGCAGAGGTGGTAGTGTCCGCGGTGGTGTCGGTGGTGTCAGTGGCAGAGGTGGCGGAGGTGATAGCGGTGGTGATGGTGGTGGCGGTGGTGGTTGCCACCGTGGTGGCGGTGGTGTCGGTGGCGGTGGTGGCGGAGGTGGTGGTGGTGTCAGTGGCAGTGGTGGCGGCAGAGGTGGTAGTTTCCGCGGTGGTGTTGGTGGTGTCGGTGGCAGTGGTGGCAGAGGTGACAGCGGTGGTGGTTGTGGCGTTGGTGGTGTCAGATGTGGTGGTGGTGGCAGAGGTGGTGGTTGTCGCGGTGGTAGCGGTGACGGTGGCGGCGGGGGTCGTGTCAGTGGCGACGGTGTCGGTAGCGGCGGTGGTGGCGGTGGTGGCGGTGATGGTGGCGGTGGTGTCACTGATGGCGGTGGTGGCAGCGGTGGCGGAGGTGATAGCGGTGGTGGTGGTTGTGATGTCAGTGGTGGTGGCGGTGTTGTCAGTTGCGGTGGTGGCGGCAGAGGTGGTAGTTTCCGCGGTGGTGTCGGTGGTGTCGGTGGCAGTGGTGGCGGTGGTGTCAGTGGTTTTGGTGGTCTCGGTGGCAGCGGTGGTGGCGGAGGTGGCAGAGGTGACAGCGGTGGTGGTTGTGGCGTTGGTGGTGGTGTCAGTTGTGGTGGTGGTAGCAGAGGCGGTGGTTGCCACGGTGGTGGCGGCGGTGGTGGCGGTGCTGTCAGTGGCGACGGTGTCGGTAGCGGTGGTGGCGATGGTGGCGGTGTCACTGGCAGCGGTGGCAGTGGTTGCAGCGGTGGTGGCAGCGGTGGCGGTGGTGGCGGTGGTGGCGGTGGCATCGTTGATAGCAGTGTTGGTGATGGTAGCAATCCTGACGAGGCACTGCTCCTCCTCCAGGTACTTCTCCTCCTTCTCCTCCTCCTCCTCCTCCAGACAATTCTCCTCGCGATGCTTCATTTCCCGAAGACGCTTCTCATCCGTGAAGGACTTCACTTTCACGAGGCTCTTCTTGAGGAGATAGTCTCTGAAGCGCTTCTCCTCTGTGCGGCACTTGACACTGGCAAAGATGTGCTCCTCTACCATGAGGCATTTCTCCGTCGCAAGGTCCTTCTCCTCCTGGAGATGCTTCACCATGCTAAAGGCCTTCAACTCCCCAATTTTTCTCTGTTCAAGCAAAAATAATCACAGGAATATTCAGACATGCACATGCAGTAAAAATTAATACCCACAGGCACGCAAACATAGATGTGCACATAAACCCAAACACAAATGCATACTCACACATCGATGTACAGATGCAGACATCCACCTTGTACGTGTAGCCCTAACCCCTAAATATCCCAACACCTACAGAATCAAAATATATGTTACATCCTCATATATCCTCACAAATCCCATCCATGCACTTAAGGCTGTGGTCGACTGCGAAGATTTCATAGAAATTGTTGTCAACTGGAATGGCATCTTCCAATCAACTAACAGACATAATTAATGTGACTGATTTTATATAATTCTGTCTTCATTGGTAATAAATGACCACTTGAAGTGCTTGCTTGAGTGGGATGGTGGAGAGATTGGGTGATGGTGTCGGGAGATGGTGTTGTTATATGGAGAGGTGAAGTAGTGTAATGTTCTAGAGCAGACATAGGCCGTATACGGCCCGTTGGGCTTTTTAATCCGGCCCGCCGAACTTGTCCAAATATTATTATTAAATAAAATTTTACCTTCCTCCTGTAATGCCCCAATTTCCCCAATAGTTAGCGCACTTTGACCGGGAGTGTGGTGTGCAGTAGAACATCTGGTCACGACCATAATTCGTTCCATAACTTTGGTCGCAACCGGTTTGGTCGTGACTCGAACCTAATTTCCCCATTGGATTGTATGTAAATACGATTAATCCAATCCAGGCTCCTACGAACTGTATATAAATATTGTTTTTTTAAGATTATTAAGCACAAAAATAGTTAATTATGCCGTAGAATTCAGTGTAATAGTATACTAAATGTAAAAACATTGAATAACATTGAGAAAACCTTGAACAACAGAGAAAACTAACATTGCCGCATCAAGGTTTAGAATCGTTCAACAAGATGATTGTTTCGTCTGCTACATCAGTCGGTCGATTCTGAGAGAGAGAGAGAGAATATTCGTATGAGCAATTCATGTTTCTATTGAAAGTAAGTTAACAGTAATATTTGGGTACAGTATTGTTTTTGAAAGCATTCGCCGTAATATCGTATGAACGTTTACTTCACCGCATCATCGTATGAATGATACGAGAAGAGATTAACGGGTTCTTATGTTAGCGATTTACGTACTCGGCGCTTTCGCTCTCTAAATTACGGCTTGAATGAGGGGGGAGGGGTATGACTACACTCACAAAATTAATATCTTACTAGGAATTTTATATAACAAAAGTTATATACATAACTGTGACGCTTTGTGTAATTCAATAAAACAAACAAAACTTAACTCCGAGTTCTCTCCGAATTTGACGAGTCCGTTCTAGACCCCACAGTTTTTTTTAAAGAGTTTTAAGCACAGAACACATAATTAAAGTTTGAAAAATCATTAATTATACAAACTTTTCAATAATTTCTTTCTTCATTTCGATTTTAATTTTCTTTAAAAACTTCTTCTCACCAACATTACCACTCATTACCACTTTCTCCGAAGGCAAGTTTGTAAAAGAATACATGGTACAGACAGCAGACATCTTGTGTCCGGAGATCAAAAGCAGATTTGAAAAAGTCAGTTCATCACGCAGGACTGTGACTCGCCGTGTGGAACTGATTGATAAAAATATAGCCAGTCAATTAAACAAAAAGTCTGATTCCTTTGAATTAAATTCACTAGCACTGGATGAAAGTACGGACGTAACAGACACTGCTCAGCTCCTCATTTTTATCGGAGGCATTGACGACAGTTTTGCGATAACAGAGGAGTTTTTGACCATGGAGTCCCTGAAAGGAACAACGCGGGGAGAGGACTTGTATAACCAGGTGTCTGCTGTCATCGAAATAATGACGCTACCTTGGAGTAAACTTGTCAATGTCACAACGGATGGATCGCCAAATTTAACTGGAAAAAATGTTGGGCTGCTGAAAAGAATCCAGGATAAAGTAAAAGAAGAAAACCCTGTCCAGGATCTTATTTTTTTTCACTGCATCATCCATCAGGAATCCCTGTGTAAGTCTGTATTTCAGCTTATTCATGTCGTGAATCCAGTCGTGAAACTTGTGAACTTTATACGAGCAAGGGGACTTCAGCACCGTCAGTGTATTACGTTCCTGGAGGAAACTGATGCGAATCATCAGGACTTGCTGTACCACTCTCGTGTCTGCTGGTTAAGTTTGGGGAAAGAGTTACAACGAGTGTGGGAGCTGAAAGAGGACATCATCGCATTTTGGGAGTTGATGGGGAAATTTGACGAATTCCCTGAGCTAAGCGACAAGAACTGGCTTAGTGACTTTGCGTTTGCTGTGGACATATTTTCATACATGAATGAGCTGAATGTGAAACTGCAGGGGAAAAATCAGTTTGTTCACGACATGTACAAACATATGAAAGCCTTCAAATCCAAGCTCACTTTGTTCTCCGGACAAATTGCGAACAAATCTTTTGCTCATTTCCCCACACTTGCCATGCAGGAAGAGGCACCGCGAAACGCAAGAAAATACAGCAAATTACTTGAGGACCTGCACGGAGAATTCTGCCGTAGGTTCTCTGATTTCGAAAACATTGAACAGTCACTTCAGCTGGTGTCCTGTCCCCTGTCACAAGACCCTGAAACAGTACCACAGGAGTGGCAGTTGGAACTGATAGATCTTCAGTTTGACTCTGTCCTAAAGGAGAAGTTAAACTGAATGACTTTTATGATTCACTTAACAGAGCCACGTTTCCAAACCTCCGGAGGACTGCACAGAAGATACTGACTTTGTTTGGCTCGACTTATGTGTGTGAGCAGACAATCAGCGTCATGAACGCCAACAAAGCCCATCACAGATCAAAGTTAACGGATCAGCACCTCAGATCTATCCTGAGAATTGCCACAACCAAAATAACTCCAGACTTGGATGCACTGGCAAAAATGGGAGATCAACAACACTGTTCCCACTGATACTGAAAGTGATGATGTGTTGCTGCAGCGAGGTTGGAGCCAAATCTCCGAGACACAGCCTGCGTGGCTGCTCTAACCTGTTAATGTAGATAATAAAGAAGTTCAAGTGAGGTAATTGGTTTGGGCGCAGGCCTCAGATGTTTTCATGATGTTTGATCAGTCACGTTATGACATGTTTTTGAATTGTTCATGTTCGTGCAATTTATTAAATTACCTAGCAAATAAATGCTTTGCTACCTGTTAAAGGCCAAATCCTTTCATGTAATGAAATTTACATGTCATTTATATTAGTTCACACAAACACTCCATCCATCTGTTCCTGGCCCGGCCCCTCTGTCAAATTTTAGAACCCATTGTGGCCCGCGAGTCAAAAAGTTTGCCCACCCCTGTTCTAGAGAGATGGTGTCTTGTGAAGGTATAGAGACATGATGAGGCTCTATGATGGTGTATTTAATTGGTGGTGGTGTGGTGTGATGAGAAGGGTGATGTGGAGAGATGGTGTAGTGATATTTTGGTGTGATGGTGTGGTGACACGGTGTGCTAGTTTTGGAGAGAATGTTGTGTGTTTGACCCCCACTGACCCCATACACACCTTTGGGGAGCGAAGCTTGTAACTTTGGCCTGGAAAAGGGTCCACTTTGTCCATAATGTCCCCCCACGAGATCGACTGGCACGACGACTCCCGGCTTATAAAGAACATAAAATTAATTCAAAGGACGAGTAATTAATTAGAGAACGAAGGACATGGAGTTTCACGGAACTAATTTTAAGATCCATGTAATTACCTCTTACCAAACAACAAGACCTGCTATTGAGAAATATTCATTACATGGCAGTAAAACTTTACAAGTCATGTTTGTGTGGGCATGTTGAGACGATCAATTCCATAAGCATGAGACCCCAGTTTAAACAAAGATGGCTGAAACTCAGATCTAAACCCATTGTCTCTGCCACACTCGATCATTACGTATTCCCATCACCATCAAGCCATGTCTACTAAAAGTAATTGATCAAGAGGCCTCCTTCTCTGCATATATGCCATGTGATGTAGGTATCTGGGACTTACCTTCGTAGTCATCCAAGATGTCTGCCCACTTAATTTGGCTGTCCATGTTGTTGGGAAGGAGTAAATTCTGTTTGAAGTTGGATGGTCTGGGGAGGTTGGAACAACGCTCAGATTTAGCAACAAATTAAATCACTCATCCTCTCAATTATTAGATATTTGACCACGCACTGTACCAATTCAATCACTTCCGTGCCTGTTGCTTTCAAGCCCACTCCCTCACTTGTTTGCCTACTCATGGGTGCGTCCGATCACTCACTCATTCACCAGCACCAACAAGTTTTTTCCAACTGCCTATTGCATTAAACATAATCGCCAGACTTAACAATGATATTTTACCTCTAATCGAAACATGCATGTCGATGTATAGCCCATTTGTATTAATCGACTGCTTGCTAAAGGCCCCCCTATTCCCTGGAGGTCATTGGGGTTATATGACCATACTTTAATTATTTGTTATAACTCGAGCATGACGTCGTCGGTCACGTGATGTCAGAGACACTACCCATTTGGCTGTGCCATCACAGATTGGAGACAGCTATGGCAGCAGCTGGGGTCTGAACTTAAAGGCAAACTCCTCCCCAATGTTGAATAACATTCAATACATGTAATGTAGGGCACAATTGTGCCAGCAATCGAAACACAAGAATTGTAGACATTTTATTAATAATCTATGAGATTTAAACAGGTTAGTTACGAATGTTTTAAATGCTGACTCGTTTGTGTCTAAACAATAATAGTAATAGCAACATATCAGGGCATGCCCAGTAACGTATATAACAGTCTTAATTTTATTGCAGAAAATAAAAATATCAACCAAAAAAAATAATGAAGCTTTAGTTTGTGGTCAAAATGTAAAATAAAAATAAACAGTCATCGTCAACAGGGACACTCACCTCGTTGAGGATTGGCTCTCCAAAGGGTTTTGCTGCTGATCCCTCGTGCGCATTCCTCTCCACTGTCGGCGTCACTACCGTGAGGCTCCGCCCCCACGCGCCTGACTGTCGCACCACGTGGTGCAGTGCAGGTGGTGCGAGTGGATGGTGATGACGATGTGTGATGATGTTTGATGATGGTGATGATGATAAGTATGGGTGGTGATGATGATGGTTGGTGGTCAGAACCGGCCCTAGACCTTTGGGGGCCCTTAGCAAAATTTGGTTGGAGGCCCCTCTCTGATGTATGATTTTTTTTTACCCACTCGCTAGCAGTGACTCTAGCGGGCCCTCTGCTGGCCACGGTGCCCTTTGCAATTGCAAGGGTCACTTAGTGGCTGGGCCGGCTCTGGTGGTGGTGATGGGTTGTGATAATGATGGGTGGTGATGATGGGTGGTGATTATGATGATGGGTGATGATGATGGTTAAATTTCAATTTAAAGCTTTCGTGACTGCAGGGATTCAGACTCACAGGAGACACCCTCAAACTCACAACAGACGCCCGTAGACTCATAGACTCACCCATAGACTCACAACCGACGCCCCTAGACTAACGTAGAGACCCATTGACTTGGAAAGGGACTAATATATTCACAGAGAGTCATAGACTTATGTGGAGACGGGTAGATTCACACCGATTGAAAACGAATTTTCCAGTGCTCCAGTTTCCTCATTAATTATCTGACAACACTCTTCATGTGTAGAGGACAGTGGAGCTTTGACAAAGGTGCCGGCTCCCAACCGCCATCTTGTGTATGGAAGGTGCCCAACCGCTATCTTTTGTAGGGAAGGTGCCCAACCGCCATGTTGTGTGGGGAAGGCGCCCAACCGCCATCTTATGTAGGGAAGGTGCCCAACTGCCATCTTGTGTGGAGAAAGTGGTCAACTGCCATCTTGAGTGGGGAAGTCACCCAACCGCCATCTTGTGTGGGGAAGGTTCACCCACCACCCACCACCACCACCCACCACCACCACAAACCACCACCAACCACTACCGCCTACCACCGCCCACCACCAACCACAACCAACTACCACCTCCACCAACCACAACCACCACCAACCACAACCAACCACCACCACCTTCCATCATTATCACAACCGATCATAATCATCACCCATCATCATTACCACCCATAATGAGCATCAACCCACATCATCAACAACCATCATTATCATCTCCACCAACCACCCAACATCACCGTCACACATCACCACCCATCATCACCATCACCCATCACCACCACCCATCAATCACCAACCATCACCATTAGCAATTTTTATAATCAACACCCATCATCACCACCACCCATCACCACCAACACCCACCATCACCTATCATCAGCACCACCACCCACGTATAATCACTACCACCCATCATAATCACCACCCCCTATCACCACCCATCATAATCACCACCCATCATCAACCACCAATCAACACCACGACCCATCATCATCACCACCCATCATAATTATCACCACCCATCGTCATCACCACCCATCATCATCGTCCTCAACACCCATCATCAGCACCGCCAATCATCAGCATAAACACTCATCACTATCATCACCAACCATCATAACCATCCATCACAATCATCAACCATCGTCACCAATCATAACCAACACCACCTCCACCCACCCATCATAAGCAACACCCATTATAACCACCACCCATCATCATCACCACCCATCACCACTACCAATTTTCATAATCACCACCCATCATCACAACCACCCATCACCACCAATCATCACCACCACCCATCATCACTACCAATTTTTATAATCACCACCCATCAAAATCACCACCTATTATCATTAACACCACCATCCATTATCAATTAACATGATCATCACCACCCATCATAAATTAACAAACACACACAGCTACAATAATACATACGTAACCTGACAAACAGACAAACACAAATAAAAAATATCTTTAAAGATTTAACAATAAAAAGCCCATATTACCCCTGCCAGGATAGGTGCACACAGACAAATCCATAACACAATAATTCACACCTAACTCAAATTCACACTTAGTACTACCACCTCAGTCACTTAAACATAACGAAAACGAAGCCTGAGGCCTAGGTGTATGCCAGGCCTGACGGCCAGGCCTCGCTTCAGTCTTCGCCGCAAGAACGGCGACATCAAAAACAGCACAAAGCGTGGAGGGCAAATGTTGAATTTTGAACCAAGGCTCCTGGATGTGTCCACTCACGTGCACCACCCACACTGCACCACGTGGTGCGGCAGCCGGACGCGTGGGGACGGAGCCTCGCGATAGTGACGTCACCTTTGTTACGTCATAGCCACGCCTCCACCCACAGTGGAGAGGAATGCGCACGAGGGATCAGCAGCAGAAGCATTTGGAGAGCGAATCCTCAACGAGGTGAGCGTCCCTGTTGACGATAAGTGTTGTTCATTTTTATTTTACATTTTGACCATAAACTAAAGCTTAATTTTTTTATATGTTGGTATTTTCATTTTCTGCAATCAAATTAGGACTTAATTCTAAATTTGAAGTTTTCGTGACTGCAATGATTCATACTCTTTGGCTTTTTCGGTAAAGTCACGTAGGTAATAAAGAAATAAATGAAATTTTTTTTTTTACCTACGTGACTTTACCGAAAAAACCAAAGAGTACAAATTAGGACTGTTAGATAGGTTATTTGGCATGCACTGATATATTGCTGTTACTGTCAATTTTTAGACCCCAACCTAGCAGGCATTTAAAAAACTGAATAACTAACTTGTATAAATATCATAGAATATGAATAACTTGTCTACAATTATTGTGTTCTCATTTCTGGTAAAATTGTGCCCTACATTACATGTATTGAATGTTATTCAAGTTCAGACCCTAGCTGCTGCCACAGCTGTCTCCAATCTGTGATGGCACAGCCACATGGGTGGTGTCTCTGACAAATAATTTGAGTATGGTCATATGACCCTAATGACCTACAAGGCATCTGTACATAGATGTGTGAGTAAGCATTTGTGTTTGGGTTTATGTGTACATCTATGTTTGCGTGCCTGTGGGTATGAATTTTTGCTTGCATGTGCATGTCTGAATATTCCTGTGGTTATCTTTGCTTGAACAGAGGATAATTGGGGAGTTGAAGGAATTCAGCGGGGTGAAGCGTCTCAAGGAGGAGAACGACCTTGCGATGGAGAAACGCCTCATGGCAGAGGAGCACCTCTTTGAGGTGCAATGCCTTGCCAGGGTGAAGTGCCGCACAGAGGAGAAGTGTTTCAGAGACTATATCCTCAAGAAACGCCTCATTAATGTGAAGTGCTTCACGGATGAGAAGCGTCTTCGCGAGATGAATCGTCTCAAGGAGTAGCATTTGGAGGAGGAGGAGAAGCACCTTGAGGAGGAGCAGTGCCTCGTCAGGACTGCCACCATCCCCACCACCGCCACCAATGCTGCCACCACTGCCGCCACCGCCACCACTGCCAGTGACACCATCGCCACCACCACCGCCACCGCCACCACCGCCGCCACCGCCGCCAGTGACACCACCACCACCGCCGCCACCACCATCACCACGACCACCACCGCCACCACCGCCACCACCGCCACCATCACCGCCACCACCACGGCAACCACCACCACCACCACCACCACCGCTGTCACCTCCGCCACCTCCGCCACCACTGCTGCCACCGACTCCACCTACACCACTGACACCACCAATATAACCGCCACCCCTGCTGCTACCGACACCACCTTCGCCACCGCCACCATTACCACCGACACCCTTGCTTTTACCGCCACCACCGCCACCACCGCGGCAACCACTACTTCTGCAGCCACCACCGCAACTGACACCACCGCGACCACCACCGCTGCCAATGACACCACCGCCACCATCACCGCCACCACCGCCACCACAGCTATCACCTCCACCACCTCCGTTTCCAAAACTGCCACCGCCACCACCTCCGAGGAGGTTGACGAGGATGAGGAGGAGAGAACGGAGAAAACAGAGAAGGGGGATAAGATGGTGGTGGTGGAGGATGAAGAAGAGATGGAGGAGGACGAGTTAAAAGAGGACGAGATGGAGGAGGTGCAGGTGGTGGAGGTGGTGATGCAGGGAAAGAAGGGGAAGTGAGGGGGCCTCGCTCGCGTGGCGAGAGCGATCACCTCACTCCTCCGCCGCGTGTTGCTTTGTGGTGGCATGTCCACCACTCAGTAGGGGTGATGGTGGTGTTCGTGGATTGGTACCAACCATGACCACTATCACCATACTACCCACCCACCTCGTGATACATGCCACACACAAACCCACCCACCCACTCCGTGATACATGCCAAACACAAACGACATGGTTCCCCAGAGAGACGTTGCCACTGGGACCACAGCTGTGGAAGGAAGCTGAGCAGCAGATGCCAGGACTACAGTGGAGAATGACTGCTACCAAGACAGCGCACACACCACACACACCACACACAAGCGGGACGAGCTCAAAAGCATAGCCGGCCCCACTCTGGGCCCCTTCCATGCTGGTTTTCATCCAAGCAGTCTTCATGGGATGACCTTGCCATGGTTTCTAGGACATGGAAGGGGCAGCTGACCCAGGGTGAGAGAGCTGGAGGGGTCTGGTACGGACAATAGACGAAACCTGCCACCTGGCAAGCCCCAGGGACACCCTGTAAAGAATTAGGTTAAATGCCATTGTTGTTGTTGGTAACATAAACTCTGAAATAAACCCATGATGACACGAAATATCGTTGAATTGCTTGCAAGTGCGGGCTGGGTTGATTCAATGTGCCTTGGCTCGGGTGTGCGGTTTTCCAGCTGTGTGTGTGGTGGTACAAAGACAAATATAAGAGAGACGTTTTGGGAAATGGTCCTTCTTCAGAGCACATACAAATGTTGGAGGGAAAAGATATTCAGGTCATTTGCCTCCTTCACAACACTGCCACTCTACTCCACTGCCCCACTTATCCACTGCCCCTCTGCTCAATTGATCCATTGCAGCTCTGCCCCTTTGCTCCACTGCCCCACTGCGCTACTATCCATCTGGCCCACTGCTCTTTTGCTCTGCTGTCCCACTGCCCCACTGCCCCTCTGCTCCATTGCCCCACTGCTCCACTGCTCCTCAGCTCAAATGCTCTACTGCCCTTCTGCTCCACTGCACCTCTGCCCCTCTACCCCTCTACCTCTCTGCCCCAATGCCGATCTGTTCCCCTTATGCCACAGCTGTTGAAACAATGTTTGCGTTTCTTAAACCCCCCTTCCTTTTTCTACCAAATAGTAGAAATGGGTACGCCACAATCGAGCAGCAAGGTGCGTGTGGTCTGTTAAAGTGTGAGTACTCCGTCCTTTTCTAA